CTTGGAAATGTATTTGCCCTTCAGGCCCGTGTATCATTGTGCCACAGCTTGAAGTGTCCTGTGTTACGGGGCTGATCATAACACAAAATAAATAAAATACATCTCGTCGTGCATTTTGCAATGAGAAGGAAGGGGGGCCATGAGCACTTGCGTCCTTCTTTTGGGAGACGAGGTGGTTTATTTTCCGAGCGGGATGCCCATCTCTCAGCCCCTCCGCTGCTGAGGAGGGTGCTGGCCCCGGCCGGGGCAGAGCTGGGCGAGGCTCCGTCCCAGCCCCGCTGCGGAACAGGAGGGCGATCCTGGGGCAGCCCCCTCAGCTGCCGGGTCCCTGCTGCAGCAGCGCCGCAGATAAGGAAATTTTGTGAACCCTTCATTGTTTCTTCTGAGTCGGGGTTTTGTTCCGCGGAAGCAGATTGTTCCCCCGGGCAATTTCAGGTTTTGACTGCTGGTCCTCCTTCTCCCTCCTCCCCTCCTCTCCCTGTCTGGGATGAAAGAGGGGAGGTTTGAATGCGCATTGAACAGTGGTCCTAAATCTGGCTTCACCCCGAGCGCTGCTCAGAAATTTACATTTTCATGCTGGTGGAAGGATACATGTGAATCTCAATGATCTTTCAAAATTTTTCTTTAAATAAAAGCAAAGCTGTTGCTCGCCATTCATCCCATTGTGCAGGGGCAGAGGACAGCCAAAATGTGGTACTTGATAAAGGGAGAACCTTGTGCAGGGCTTCCATTTTCATATAAATGGTGTGTATTTTACATCCTCGTCCTCCCTGATCTGCAGTTTGACAACACCATTTTCTCAAAGTATAAATACAATAAGTTTATACAGGAAAGTCTGTTGTAATTTTTTACTATAGAAATATATATAATCATAATAGAGGAATTTATCTTAATATTAAACTTAGTGTAGAAATTAATGTAATTTTATAAAGGAGATAGCATTTAACAAATGAAGATAAGGAAGATTAAAAGCACAAATATATCACAGATGTTCTTGGTTTTATTTAACTCACAGAAAGCTTTAAATAAGTTTCATATGTGCAACTTCTCCACAGAAAAAGGGGGAAATCCTGACAGAGATTGTCTGAATACGAGTTTGAACTGCTGTATTCTGAAGAGTAAAAATAAAACCAAAGCAAATGCAGAAACAAAGCAATCGCAGCCCTTCCTTCAGGCAGAGATGCACCTTCTGTGAGCATGCCCACCTTAGAAAAGCACCAAGTGCTCCGGAGGGTGCTGGCCGTGGGGGCACAGGTGTGGTGCCAGGCGCGGCGAGGGACAGAGCTGCAGCAGACAGCCTGTGCGTGCCCGGCGCTGCCCAGGTGCCCAGGCCGGGGCCGTGGGGGCACAGGTGTGGTGCCAGGCGCGGCGAGGGACAGAGCTGCAGCAGACAGCCTGTGCGTGCCCGGCGCTGCCCTCTGTGCCAGGCGGGGCTGTGGGGGCACAGGTGCCGTGCCAGGCTCAGTGAGGGACGGAGCTGCAGCAGACAGCCTGTGCGTGCCCGGCGCTGCCCAGGTGCCCAGGCCGGGGCCGTGGGGGCACAGGTGCCGTGCCAGGCTCAGTGAGGGACGGAGCTGCAGCAGACAGCCTGTGCGTGCCCGGCGCTGCCCAGGTGCCCAGGCCGGGGCCGTGGGGGCACAGGTGTGGTGCCAGGCGCGGCGAGGGACAGAGCTGCAGCAGACAGCCTGTGCGTGCCCGGCGCTGCCCTCTGTGCCAGGCGGGGCTGTGGGGGCACAGGTGCCGTGCCAGGCTCAGTGAGGGACGGAGCTGCAGCAGACAGCCTGTGCGTGCCCGGCGCTGCCCAGGTGCCCAGGCCGGGGCCTTGGAGGCACAGGTGCCGTGCCAGGCTCAGTGAGGGACAGAGCTGCAGCAGACAGCCTGTGCGTGCCCGGCGCTGCCCAGGTGCCCAGGCCGGGGCCGTGGGGGCACAGGTGCCGTGCCAGGCTCAGTGAGGGACGGAGCTGCAGCAGACAGCCTGTGCGTGCCCGGCGCTGCCCAGGTGCCCAGGCCGGGGCCTTGGAGGCACAGGTGCCGTGCCAGGCTCAGTGAGGGACAGAGCTGCAGCAGACAGCCTGTGCGTGCCCGGCGCTGCCCAGGTGCCCAGGCCGGGGCCGTGGGGGCACAGGTGCCGTGCCAGGCTCAGTGAGGGACAGAGCTGCAGCAGACAGCCTGTGCGTGCCCGGCGCTGCCCAGGTGCCCAGGCCGGGGCCGTGGGGGCACAGGTGCCGTGCCAGGCTCAGTGAGGGACAGAGCTGCAGCAGACAGCCTGTGCGTGCCCGGCGCTGCCCAGGTGCCCAGGCCGGGGCCGTGGGGGCACAGGTGCCGTGCCAGGCTCAGTGAGGGACAGAGCTGCAGCAGACAGCCTGTGCGTGCCCGGCGCTGCCCAGGTGCCCAGGCCGGGGCCGTGGGGGCACAGGTGCCGTGCCAGGCTCAGTGAGGGACAGAGCTGCAGCAGACAGCCTGTGCGTGCCCGGCGCTGCCCAGGTGCCCAGGCCGGGGCCGTGGGGGCACAGGTGCCGTGCCAGGCTCAGTGAGGGACAGAGCTGCAGCAGACAGCCTGTGCGTGCCCGGCGCTGCCCTCTGTGCCAGGCGGGGCCGTGGGGGCACAGGTGCCGTGCCAGGCTCAGTGAGGGACAGAGCTGCAGCAGACAGCCTGTGCGTGCCCGGCGCTGCCCCCTGTGCCAGGCGGGGCCGTGGGCGGCAATGGCCATGCTCGGGCAGCCCGAGGGGCGCTGAGCCAGCCGCGCTCCCTGAGCCCCTCTGGGGGAGCTGGGGTGCCAGCTGCCGCGGGGAGGCTGCTCCTGCCGGGGGCACCACAGAGAGAGGGGACACGGGCTGCAGGCTGCAGACAGGTGGCACCGGGGGACCCCAGCACCCCAAGGTGCTGCTGCTGGGCGAGCCGAGGGAGCAGCCGGGAACCGCCCACAGGGCGCTGGCATTGCCTGCAGGACACATTAATTCACCCTAATAAGCAAACAAAACCAGAAGGCAGGGAAGGATCTGTCAATTTGAGAAGACTTTTGTGATTTATTTCGTGATCTAGAGCCAGACAAAACACTGTGGTCAGCGAGAAATATTGCAGTTTTCTATGTGTCTCTACGGCAGGATTTCTACTTGGTTGCAGAAGCAAAACTCTCCCTAGGTGTTTCAGTCTGAAGAACTTATTGTGTGTGAAAACAAAGCCTTTTGCAATCTATTGTGAATTAGAATTAACTTTTATATCACCAAACATATTTAGTAAAGGGAGATTTTGTTGTAATATTTCATTCAGCATTAAAGCTCTTATATTTATTTTCTGAGTGGAGCAGTTTTAGCTTCTTGTATTAGGAGTATTTGAATCATTGTATCATGGTTTTCCCCTGTGAAGCTGGGGATTTTGACAGTGAAGAAGAGAAACTTGGTTGGTTTGCCCTCAGGAAGGACATGCCTAGTGATTAACAGGAGTTAATTCGCTGGTAATTTTGATCTGTGACCATTCTGCATGTGCATTTCTGTGCAACACGGCACTTGCGGTGCCGACTGCCAAGTCAGAGCTTTGAATTACAAATACCTTTTTCTTTATGAATTAATTTCCTTAACAGGCATTTAAGCCATAAATAATGCACTCAAATATGACAGCGTTTCTTTGCTTTTGCTGATCAGCCTGGGAGGGTTTGGTTTTCCCTGGAGCGTGCCCACGCTCGCTGCTGCCTGGGGCGGGACGTGTCCCTGTCGCAGGTGCGATGCAGCGGCGCTGCTGCAGTGCTGGCATGGCACTCGCTGTGTGTGCCACCACTCAGGGTCACTCCTCATTCACAGCACTTCATTAACTGCCCTCTTTGTGCACTAGCAATGTCTTGGTGGCAGCAGGAGCAAGTGTTGAAAACAGAAATACCTGAGGGCATTGCTCAGGTGGGAACACACGCTGTTGGATGAAGAGCAGCAGTAGCCTGAGTGACACACCTTGTGTCCCGACACTACATCACATGCCTCAACCAAAATTACTGACTTCTTTAGGAAATTAAGAAGAAGACAGAAAATTATAGATGGTACAGTTTTAAATGGAAATGAATAGTGCAACCAAAACTGGAGACATTTTTGCCGTCTGTAAATCGTGATGATGATGTGATTTTTGTTAGTAACGCGGATGCCTCAGATTGAGCTGCAGGATCGGGATGGGGCAGCTTGCGTCTGAAGGTGTGCAGACATGCAGGATTACCTGCACACAGGTCGCAGTGCTGGCTGCGGAGGCCGGAGCCCTGTGCTGGGGCGAGGAGCTGCTGTGGGAGCACAGCTGTGTGTGCAGCCCGAGCGCTGAGCCCGTGCACATGCAGCATTCCTGCAGCTCTGGCTGCACCCCTGCTCCTGCAGCTTGCTGCCCTTCCACTTCCTGCCTGGTTTGTTTCCTTTCCCTCCTGCCAGCCCAAAGGCTGCATGTGAGAAGGTGATGGCGTGACAGTCGATAATTCAGTGTGTCCTCCTGATTTATTACACATTACCAACGCTGTTTGGAAATAGATGTGCTCAGCTTACAGTCTGGGTGTCTGAGGCTGTGCTCAGCCGTGTTGGCGTGCAGCACTCAGGATGCAGGGCTGGTGACTTGGCAAGGTGTGGGCTCTGCAGAAACTTCTTGTTCCGTGTGCTCCCACGCTTGCAGCCTTGGGGCTGGGGCTGGAGCGCAGGCAGGGGCAGCTCCAGGGGCTGCAATCAGGATCTTGGGAGCTCATGCCTCTGGCAGAATTAAATCCCCACCTGAATTTAAACCCCAGGGATGAGGACAAGAGGGTGGTGTCAGAAGAACTTCTCCCAATAGCTGCACCTGTGCTGATGCTCAAGTGAGGCAAATTTGGTGCCCAGTGGGTCAGCAGCTTTCCTTTACCAAAGATGGAAATAATTTCTCTGCTTTAGTACATTAAAACCTGGTAGCAAGTTCAATATCCTGCAGTAATCATCATGTTTAATATATTATAGAAAAATATTCATATAAAATAAATATAATTAATTTTAATTTTGTTTTCCAGGAGAAATTGATGTGAACTGGTCTATCTCTCATAAAGACTTAGAGGTAAATGCAACCAAATTTTCCTATAATTCTTTATTTTGTTGCTTATTAACAAGCAGAATAAAGTAAATGGGATGGAAAAGCCCCTCTGTGGTGTTTTTATGGGAGGATTAGCAGTGTCCTCTCACAGGAGAAAGGAGTTCTTGAGTTGGGGCTGGCAGAGGCAGGAAGGGACAGGGCTGCCAAGAGCTGGAGTGATTGCACAGACCGTGCAAGGGGGACATCAGCTCTCCCTTGCTGTGTCTCTGGAGCCCCAGAGCTGTTTGAGGGCAGCCTGGAGCCAGCAGAGTGTGGAGCCTGCCTGGGCTCGTCAGGGGCAGCGTGGGCACCCTGCAGCCTGGGGATCCCAGCGACCTGCTGCAGCACCCAGCAGGAGCAGCTTCAGCTGCTCCCTCCTGCTCCTTCCCTTTTTCCGTGCAGCGTCCAGTACAGCTGATACAATCCAGTGACATTCACAAATTCTTTCCCTGAGGAGAATGGTATTTTTATACCTCTCCTGTTCACTCATCCAGAATTTCATGTATATTTTTTTAAACCTGTGATGTTTACTAGGCAATGACAGTTGTAGATAGGATTTTAAATTCTGGCTGCCTACACAGAAAGTATGTGTGAGGTCACTGGGAGAGAGAGAGTTGTTTTCAGCTTCTTTTTTTTTTTTTTTTTTTTTTTTTTTCCTTTTAAAGTCTTTCTTTACAATTGCAAATTGCAGATTTCATCCAGACTTGTGTAGCATTGTACCTTGTCCAAGCAGTTTGCCTTAATGTGTGCAAGGGAATATGTAATTGCATTTGCAATTGATGTTCATTTTATTTGTGTTCTGGAGAAAATTCCAGTTTGTTGTGACATAGCACAGTGAGTAAATATTGGCTAATTGAGGGAAAGCTTCACAACTGCAGTTTTAAATAGTAAAAAAGAATGTCCTGAAGCAGAAGTTCGAATGAGAACTTTCCTTCCAGACAATGCAGGTTTCTCTGTAGCAGAATTACCCATTCCAAACCTGGATATGTAAATTGTACATGGGAAACATTAGATTTCTGCTGGATCACTGCCAGCAGTGACCTTTCTAATTCCCAGTTCCCAAAGCACAGAATCTCAAGTGGTAAGTGCATTTCTCTCTGTGTTTCACCAGGCACAGATCTCCAACTACGCGGGCGTGAGGCACAGCAGCATGCGGTACTACAGAGCGGACAAAAACGTCACTTGTAGGAACTGCCACAGACCAGGACATTTGTCCAAGAACTGTCCCACTCCAAAGGTAAATGCAATGCTTAAATCACTTGAACATTCAGCTGTTCCTAATATATCTTTGTGCTTGCTGTTAGAAAAGTTGTTTCAGTGGTTTATCCTTTCTTTGAAGCAGTGCTCTGAGTTGCAGGTAGCTTGCACAAAGTCAGTTTACTGTGTGAAAGTATCACTCTGTTTGGTGCTGACATTGCTTTGATTGTTTTTATAAAAGAAAAACATGCAGAATTATATCATATAGAATCATATTGAATGGTTTGTGTTGGAAGGGACTTTAAAGATTAACTCATTCCACCCCCTGCCATGGGCAGGAACAGCTTCCACTAAACCATGTGGCTGTAAACTGAGGAAAAAAAAAAAACAAATGCCATACAGAAACATCTTTTTTTTTTCATATGGTAAAACAGTCAGCAAGTGTAAAATATTTTTCAATTGTACTTTCAACAAGGAGAATCGATTGAATCAGAATTACACCCTTAGTAAATAAGTGAAAGCAGAAAGTATAATGAGCCATGATAAGAACAGTGTTAAAAACCGTGGACAAGACGAAACTGGAGCTAACTTTAAGCTGAGATGGATGCCACATATTCCAAAAGTTTGTCCTGTGGTTAGGGGTTTAAAAGTCAGTCAGTAAATTGTAAAGAAGTGGGAGCCATTGCACGACAGCCTGGATTTAGCAACCCCCACACCAGAATCTGTGAAACCCTTGGTCCTTGGGGCTGTTACCCGCAAGGACACTCAGAATGAGCACATCCCACACGACCCTCGGGGCAAACACCCTCACTCACTGGAAAAGTGGCTTCACAGAGGTACAGGCTTGGCCTCAGAATGGCTGGCTGTGTGTCACATTTGTCCCTCCACGTGCTGAATTTGTGAGGCTGTGCTGCAGAGTCTGGATGGCAGCGAGTGCCCCTCCAGCTCCCCGACACAGCCCCTGCGGGGTCCACAGGGCTGGAAGGATCTACTGGAACACTGTCCCTTTACATGGCTCTACTTCTGTTTCTCCACAGAAAGTTCCCCCGTGCTGTCTGTGTGCAGGAAGAGACCATCTGCAGCACAGCTGCCCGGCACGATTCTGCCTCAACTGCTGCTTGCCCGGGCACTATTTCAGGGAATGCCTGGAGAGAGCCTACTGGAACAAGCACTGCAACCGCTGCGACATGAAGGGCCACTATGCTGATGTGAGTATGGCCCTTGGCACAGAAACCAGCCCTGGTTTGCTCTGTGTCTGTCAAAAACTGAATTTGCAATGGCTACAATCTCTTCATGATGTTTTGATTTTACATAGTGCCTATTTGTGTAAGCATATGGAAGTGTTGTGTTTAGTCACTGCTTTACACTGTCAGCGTTTTCATGGAGAATGGTTCAAAGAGCACAAACCAAAGCCTTGTCAACACCTGGTCTTTAGTTTGGTTCAGTTCAGCAGCGGTGGACACAAAGGTCCTTTTTCCTGGCAAAGGAAAGGGGTAGGGAGGTTGAAATCAGGAGACGCAGTGCTGCAAGCATACCGGGAAGGAGTAAAGAGTAACTCTGATGCCTCAGGATGCACCAGATCTGTGGTTCTTTCACTGTGATCAGATATTAATCAGTGAAAATACTATTAGAGAGATGTAGTTTGAAGGCTTTGGGTTTGACAAGATCTACTCAAATAAGACATAGAAGAAAATGAAAGGGAGAAAACATAGTTGTCTCTGTCTTTCATCTTGTATTACATTATTATGGTCTTACATATCCCCAAAATTCAGTCCTATATGTAGCAGTCAAGCTTTCATGATATTTTTTTCTCTTATCTGAATTAAACAGAAATAAGAATTAAAGGCAAATTGTGAAAATTTTGGCATACATTCACACTTCAGTTTCTAACTATAGATATGGCCTATATGTTTGGTTTTCAAATACACCTGTGAGATTCCATAAACACTGGATTTTTTTGAAACTCAGAAATATTTGAATCTCTTTCTAAATGTCTCCTTCCTGGCTTTATTTTTTCTGTTTGGTCAAAGAGCATGTCACAGTGGTACATGAGATGTGCAAAGGTCAGTCAGTGTACTTGGGAGTTGCTATTTCTTATGATATTTGAATGTGTGCCAGATGTAATTTTGCTTATAGCTAATGTGCCCGCAATACTTTTAAAGAATATGAATTGTACATTTCTGCACCGACATTCTGATAGGCAGTGAGACAAAATTGCAAACTGTAATGAGGCATCTTTGCCATCTTTTCTCTTTTCCACATTTTATGACACCAGTTTCATAAACTGGTGTCCTTTTCTTTAAAGAGCCATGAGGGCTGTATCATACAAGCATTGAAATCCTACCTGAGCCGTGCAGGTTATCAGCAACCTCACAGCATGTATTTTTTCTGCTCATTTGGGTCCACCTTTAATCAGAAAAGTTGTTCTTTAAAACTTCAGGCAGTTCTTGTGTGGTGCATGGGAGGTGTGAAGCTGCCTGTGTCATTCACCTGGGTGAATTCTGGGGCATCAGAGCAGGAGCTCACCTGCCCAGTCCTCAGAGAGAGAGATGGCATGGCAGAGCAGAGGCAGAGCAATCAAAGCCAACAGTAAATCCTTCCTGAGACCAGAGCAGAAAGCCTGTGAAACCAACAGGTGGTCGAGACATAAAAGGCACACTTGGACAGGACAAGGTTGCTGCTCATGGCCTCAAGGTGTTTTTTGCATCTGGGATGTTCATAGTGAAGAAAACCAGGGGTGTTCCCATACTGAAACCTTATTTAGTGGAGGGGAGCACCGGAGAGGCTGTCAAATGGAAGAGAATGTGAGTGTTCCTACGAATCTGTGAGCGCTAGGCTGTTACCAAAACTGGGTAACAGCCAGTGTCTGGGTACGTGCCCAAAAGCTGCAGGGGAGCACGAGGGTGAAACGGCCCAGCCACGGCAGCAGGCACCTTGTGCTTGGTGCATGACTGTAACTGAGTTTTTAATGCAACAACAGCGGGTAGGGATGTCCCAGGGAGAGCTAGAGGTCCCAGACTGCCAGCTGCACATGTGTACCAAGCCAGGGGCAAGAACCGTGGTGGTGGCATGTTGGCATGGGTGCATAAACATCATATACGTGGGGTGATTCAAGGCTGTTTTGTAAAAACGAAATCCCACTTCTCGTGGATCTCTGGAGTTCTTCAAAGGCGCAGGTTGACAAGCATGTGTGTAAACATGATCCAGGTGACATAGTCTGCAAATTCCAAAAGGCGTTTTACAAAGTTCCTGACCAAAAGCTTTCAAGCAAACTAAACGGGCATGGAGTAAGAGGATAAAGATGGGATATGCTAGTGTGACATGGAAAAGGATCAACAATGGGGCAACAAGAGTGGCTGAGAAGACCGAATTACTTACAGAGTCAGTGGTGTGAGCCAGCTGTGCAGAGCTGCCCGAGAACTGTAAGAGTCAGAGGGAGAACACAATAAAATGGCAATTGACATTGAGTGGCAATAAATGTGAAGTAAAACAATCCCATCTTGGCATATGGAATAACAGGTTCTGCATCTTACTGTTCAGCACTCCAATCCTAGTTATGAGATATGATTCTACAAAAAATCAGTTTAGTCTTCACAAGCTGTAAAAAAGAAAACCAAACTGCTGAAACATTAGGAATCATCAGGAAAGCAGGAGCACCTGGGCAAAGCTTTGGTCCCTGCCTTCTGTATCCCTCAGCATGGCCACAGCTCCTCAGCCTGCAAGGGAGGTGACAGAGGGAATGGTCTGTAGAGAGCTTCAGAATCATCTCTCATGGGAGACAGTGGTCAGGGGTCATAATTTCTTCCAGTACACCTGGCAATAGAAGCCAGGTTGAGAAGAGACGGTCCAGGGTGACTCTGTGTGGTCAGCAGCAGACCTGGAGCCTCCTTTCTGAGGGATGCAGCTCTGCCCTGCCTCCAGAGGAAATAGGAGCAGTTCTTGGAAGAGAAATCACAGAATTCTACAACACCAGGTTGAAAGGGACTTCATGGATCATCTGATCATCACTGCCAACATTTCTGGGCAAAAGCATGGTCTACACAAGACAGCCCAGCCAAATCCTAAGTGTCCAGTTTTGTGGAATCCATCACTTCCCTCAAGAGACGATTGTTGTGATTGTGAAAATTTTCTCCTGTGTCCACCTGAAATCTCCCCAGGAGTAACTTGGAGCTATTGCCCCTTGTCTTTCCCATGTGACTCCTTGTAAAAAAGGAAAATCTCCTTGTTATCAAACATGTTATGAATGCTTTGAATGCTCAAAGGAAATTGTAATTTGTCCTTCTCAGCAAGTTTACTCCCCTTTGCTATAACACAGAGGGTGCAGAACAGGCTTTTGTGCACAGTCTGTCAAACTGACTTTCCACTTTGGTCCAGAAGTGAATGTGAGGCAGCTCAAGGTGCTTCACCTTGTTTGCTTAGGAAACATTCACAGTTACTTAAACCATTTTAAGGTCACACATTTATGACCTGCTAGATCAGTCTCTGCTCCTGAAACGGTGCTGAGAGCATGCAGAGTCCTCTTAGCTGGAGGTGTTCTGGAAGCAGCCCGGCCTTGCGTGGTTTCCTTGGGAGGGTCATAGAGGAGCTGCTTTTGACTGATTCGGTGGCAGTTCAGTGGATGTCATGGGCCTTGTGGTTGGTTTGCAGCCTCACCTGCCAGCAGCAGGGCTGGGAGACGGGCTCCATGAATCTGCAGGAAGCAGGCAGAGGGGCAATGTCTCCTTGTATACCCGGGAAACCAGCATGCAGGTGCTTGGTGAGCTGGATGGCTGTCCAGGAGCGGGCAGACAGCAGTGCCCAGGTGCTTGGTGCCCTGTAGCCACGCTGTGTCTGATGGCCCCATCCAAATGCCCAAATACCACTGTTGTCAGCACTCCTTCCCATGAACCAGCTGGTTGCTTCGACTGGCATCTTCTTGGCATATTCTGAGAACGTTCTGATTGTGCAAGCCGCCACTGGCCTCTTCTCTGCGGGCAGGTTCCTTCAGCCTTTGTTGTTTGTGGCACACTGCGCTGGGCTGGGCTGGAGCTGGAGGTGCTGGGCTCATTGCGCAGGGGCAGCTGGCATCCATGGGCCCGTTTTCCCTGGGCAGAGGGCACCATGTTTGCTGTGTCTCCTGAGTTGCCCAGTGTCCTGCCCACGCACCCGAGGGTGGGCACACGGCCGTGCCACCAAAGGCACGGCGACACCGCGGCCCCCCAGCCCTGCCCGCCCGGCACCGGCGGCTGTCTGCGCTGCCAGCGTGGGGAGAGGTCTCGACATCTGCTTGCGCAGGAGCGCCTTTGAAGGGAAGCATTGTGTGTTTTCCGCGGCAGTTCCCATGCGGAGGTGATGAAAAGTGTGTGTTTTGGCAAATCTTTTGTTTTATTGTGGTGGCTTGCGGCGGGGCAGCTCCAAGCAGCCGCTGCCTCTTTGACAAAGCACCAGAGGATTCTGTTAAAAAGTTGTGTTTAGTAATTGTAGTCGTCGTGTCAGACCATAACTGACTCGGAGCTGAAGGATTTTTGCGAGATGAGTAGCTATGCCAGCAGGGACCCAAGTCTCCTGGGCCAGCCGCGCTCTCATTAAGATTTGCCGCTAGCCGTGGCGGTGTTCGGCAAGTATGTGACGTGCATGCTGTTATTGTATGCTTGGCTTGTCAGCCTGCAGCTTTCTGACACTCACTTATGTCACTCTTTATTCAGAGACGAAGAAGCTTTTGATAATTTGACAAGACAAGCTCTTAAACGATCTAGGTCATGGCCTTCACTGTCTGTGATTGTGAACATATTTCCTGAAAGCCCTGTCACTCATCACAGCTACATTTTCTCCCGGGGAGCCGCGGGCCCGTCCCGGTCTCCTGTCAGCGCGTGCATTTTGGTTATTCATACGCCAAATACAGTAGCGGGCTCGGCTCGCCTTTGGCCGGCGCTCGCATGTTAGCGGGGCTAATCCTTGGCCCGCGCCCGCGCCCCGCCGCGCCGCCGTCGAGGGCCCTCGGCGCGAGGCAGACGCCCGGCCGAGGGGAGCGGAAAGCAGCAAAGGCCGCTTAGTGCCGGTTTTGTGTTTGCTCATTGTTGTGGAAATATGAGAACTGGTGGCAAGGGCCTCGTCTATTGAGCTCTCGAGTCCCGGTCTGCTGTCAGGGGCTGTTTGAGATTGAGTGTTTTATTTTCTTTGATGTTCACATTGGAGAATAGGGAAGTGGGAATTAAACAACAGATGCATTAAGCCGTTGTTCTGGTAAAACAATAATTAGCACCTGATAAAATTCAATATGGGTCAAAACGTGCAGCACCCAGTCTCGATTCTCCCATTATGGCGCCGTGCAGAGGGTCAGCCTCAGGCACGAGTGGCCGCCCTTGCACAGGGCCGTGGCAGCGGTGGCACGGCTCTGGGGACAGCTGGCTTTTGGAGCAGCAGAGGCGTGGCTCTAGGGCCAGCAGTGGGTCTGGGGACATCGGTGGCTTTGGGGACAGATGTGGCACAGCTCTGGAGACAGCGCTGGCTTAAGGGACAGCAGTGGCCCGAGGTGGTGGCATGTGCGGGCCCGCTGCCCTCGCCGCACGCCGTGGCAGTGGCTCTGCCCTCTGGAGTGGGCACCTTTTGTGCTGGTACATCTAAATGCGAGTACGGTCAGACCACTGGGGCAGGAAATAAATGCAATTTTATTTTAATGTAGTTCATCACGCTGCCATCGTAGCTGGGTACCACAGGGGCTTTTCTCTAAAGGAGGGCCATTCATGGTTAAGTTATTTTAAATAAATAAGGAAAATGGTGGGTTTGGCAGCAGTTCTGCCTGGCTACGCTGTCTACCGTAGCAAACCTCCCTGCCTCATTTGAGGAGCCAGTATTTAGTAGTAATTGTTAATCATACTATTTGTCATTCCATGGTATAAGATGCAGACAACAGCCCTGAGCTGATGCAAAGTAACGAGGTTCCTGGTCAAAAGCATCATCTCCAAAGAGCTGTTGTTTAACAGTGACCCCTCCTCAGCTGTTGTACCCCGCTTGAGCAGTATTTCCCCCAGCCACCACCTGAATGAAGGAATATGCTTAGCCTTCCCTCACCAGCTTCATCCTCTCCTTCTGCTGGTTTTCCCTCAGCCTTAGAAGGTCCCTGAGGATAAAACCACCTCTGGACAGCACCACGCAGGGCTGGGGCTGTGCCTCTCCCAGGGTTTTGACAAGAGCTCTGCCAGCTGTGGTTCTCACTCTCAGCTACAGATTTTTGCTCAAAGTGACGTCTTTGTGTCCAGAGCAGAAGAAATGCCCAACCAAACAATTATTCAAAAATAAGTAATTTTGATGATGATGAGGATGATGATTATTAAATAGCAGTCGTGTGAGTAAAGGTCATAGCACACAGTGGCATTTTGCCAGGATAGCACAACTCACTGATTGCAATTGTTCAACCATATTAGCCTGGGCACACTGTGGTAATCGAAAAGTATCCAGAACTAATGTATAAATAACTGCCTGCTACCCCTGAGCTGGACCAGCACAGCTGTCCTGCACAGCTGAAACCTCCTCAGCTCTCAGGGACACCCTAAGAGCTCTGGTACAATATTTCTACAGGCTACAGGGTGTTTATATGTTGCTCTCTGAACCCTGGCTAAGTTAGGGAAGGAGGAAAATCCTTTTGTTTGTGCTCAAAGACAGCTTGAGTGTGTTCAAACTGTCAGATCCTCAGTGAGGAATGTGGTGTCCTTCACACATTTCCTTTATAGAAATATTAATATAAAACTCAAATATTTACACACAGCATTTGAGTAAGAGGAGAAATGTTGAACCATTACACAGAACAGATTGTAGATTTTTCTGCAGACAATTATGTTACTGGTGGAATGAATAATAAATTATATCATTTCCATCACATCTGGGAAAAACACACTGTATGTGCCACAGGGTGACTGGCAAAAACTTGGATTTTATTTTGAGAGATACTGGTTGTGGTGTGTTTTTTTTTTTAATTAGCACGCTCCATCAAAATAAAAGAAGGCAAGAATTTGGGCACAAGTGAAAAATTTATTCAAAATCTAAAGAAGTGTTAATAGTACTCATTTGCAAGTAGTCATGAGGCTTCAGTGTTCGAAATTGCAGCTGCAGCATATTATGGAGAAGCCGTGGAATACTAAATTTCTTTTTCTTTTCTTAAAATGAAGGTTCGCAAACCAAGTTGCTAATTGTTCAAATGAGTACAGTGCTGTTCTTATAAGAAGGTAAATTTCTAAAGAGAAGTGAAAGCCCTCCGCTGCAGTAGCTGTGTACCAAAATGACAAAAAGTGACACAATTTCTGTATCTGTCTTTGCCTCAGGGGCCATGAGAAGTATCGTACATTTTGTAAAAGCATTAAGAACCTCTGAGAAAGTGATCTGAGCTTTAGTGACCACCAGCATGTTCTGATTTTGTTTTAAAGATCCACGTTTTCCTCTTTACCATCTATCATGTGTCCCTCAGGTCAATTGTGTCACTTCTGTGACTCAAAAACCTCCTTGAATTTTTTTTTTTCCAAGGGCTGCACTTAGGACTTTTATGAAAGTCTGGCGATTTAAAAAAAATTAAAAGTGAAAAAAAAAAAGCTAACAAGTCATGTAAAAATAGCAACATTAAAGCAATCTGTTATGGTTCTTGTTTACAACTCATCTGACATGAGGCTGCTGAGGATTATTACATGTAACAATTATATTTTGATTAGGAAAGAGAAACGTACAAAAAAGATAAAATATTTCTGTTCGTACATGAAAGGAAGGCACCTTGTGCTTTAATTTCTAGAGCGTTATGTAAATTTAAAATGTCAGAAAATGTAGAATTTAAATCGTCCCCTGTTTGTTTTGCAGCGTTAATGCTTCCTACAGTCACGAACACACTGCTCTCCCAAACTTCTGCCCCTCAGAGAAAAAGGGCAGAGAGAAAACTGTTACTGGCTTTCTGACAATGGCAGGGAGTGTGTTAAACCAGTGTAAAATTCAATTAAACTGTCTAGCCGGGTTTTTGAAGCTGAAATGCAGACCCTTTCAGTTAAGCTTCTTATTTTCCTGTGACCGACACCAGTGGATACTGTGTTATGCCAAAACCAACAGGCTGTAAAGCACCTTGTTTCATGCTCCTAGCTGATCAATATTTTTATTTTCCAGGCTTGCCCAGAAATATGGAGGCAGTATCACCTAACAGTAAGTAGAAACACCTTTTTTATTTTCTTCTACACCCAACCTATTTACTCCTCTGTTAACTGCTGACCATAAAATATAGATAAGCATCTTCTCTGAGAAGATAATAAACATCTCAAGAGTTTTTGAACTGAAGAAGGCGATGAAACACTGTCACTATTTTTTAAGCATCTTTAAAACTTCTGTTTTCATTTTAATACTGTAATAATTAAATTAGTGCTTTGCCTCTCTTCTCTCAGTGACCACATTTACACATGGAAAGAGCGTTAAATTTTAAGTTGGGGTGCACAGCAGAAGCTGTAATCCCATCTCAAATATCCCAGATGCTGGTAATTTGTCACTCTGTGTGACAAAGCTTTCTTCTTAGATGAGTGAAATAAATCTCAGTTAGAGTGGAGATGTGAATTCAAGGAAAAACACCTCTTGAACTTTTCCAGATAATTTATAATTAGTCAGGATTTAGCTGTGACTGCTTGTTTGGCCTGCCTTAGTTGATCGTTAATCCCTGAAACAAGAAAATAAAACTTTGTGAAACTGTACCAGTTTATTACTTAGGATTTTTCCTCATATGTAAAATAGATATAAAAATACAACAAAATGCATACAAATTTGGTTAATATTGAAACCTCTGACAGTATTTAACCAGTAAAAACAAATTCTTGCATTGGTGTCACAGTTCTTAAATATATTAATTTCTAAAATTGACAGACAAAAAACACCTTTAAAAAATCAGGGGTTTGTTGTCCTCTGAACTTTTCATTGCTCCCCAGATCGGCCTCACACGAATTTCACTGTTACAGATAATTAACCCCTGTTCTCTGCTCTCAACAAAGTAGAAAAGTTTCTCCACTACTTTTCTTTTTGGATCTTTGTTTTTTTTCTCTGAAACAGTAGATGGGATGTGCTTTATAATTTGTGCCTCCACCTCTTCATGGCAGTGGAATGCTCTTTTTTCTGGTTTTTTCTTCAAAATTCAATGAATAGAAGAAATCTGCACTTTAAACCTCTCATTTGTGTTTTGTGCATAATGATTCTAACACAAAGATCTGCCCTGGAAATCCTCCACCCTTCCTGAGAATTTACTTTTAAACATATTTGGTAAAGACTTTTTGTTGGTTTGGTTGGTTTGGTTTTGTTTTGTTTTGTTTTTTTCAAACATTGTAAGCCAAAAAAAGGTGCATTCACTGAGTATTTTTGTTTGTCTTGGTTTGGTTTGGTTTTAAAATGGATGAAGGAAAAAGGTAAATGCTGTCTTTCATTATAATCCCTAAGGGTGCATGTAAAAACAATTTCTGAAATGTTTATAACACTTGGAACTTAATAATCAAATAGAAATATTTGGTGCAGTAACATCCTGGGTTCTGGTTTTTACTGAGATAAAAGATGTAATTTAATTTTAATCCTACCTGCCTGAATTGAAAATTCCTCAAAAAGCGCATTGCCATCAACACTTATAAAATATTTTTGTCTGTAAAAGAAAAGCAGGGTGCAGCTTAAACTTGACCAAGCGCCGTGTCAGGACAAAATCTGAGGTATCTTGAGATAGGAAATTATTTCTGTGGATTTTTTAGAAAGCATTCAGGGTTTACAGTTAATGTAAAGCAAAACTAAGAGAAGGTGTCAAAACAAGTTCTTGTTAGAAAATGTAGTGGTTACAAATATGGGCATATTATTAAAAATACCCCTTTGGAAATTTATGGTGCATTTTAGGGACATTTTGAAATGTGGTCAAATAGGCACACTCACAGATTAATTGGTATTGCATCAGGCCCTACCTTCCAATAAATTTTTACTTCCAATAAGATTTTTACTTTGCAGTGAATTGCAGTTTATCTGCAAATAATACACATTTCTGGCATGTGGGAAATGCTTTGCACTCCTTCATTTCTTGCATGGGAAGAGTACCTTTGGCTCAAAGTTACATTGGCAGTTGGATAAGCCTGGAATTAAAAAATTTGTATGGTAAAAAACGTGGCTGATATTTGCAATTAGTAAATGAAAAAAATCTGCATTATCTGAATTATTTACAATTTATGTTTTATTATTCCCTTTAAATTTTCTCTTTTGCGCCTGAAGCAGAGCAGAAGTAAATAATGTTCAGGCAAGAAACAAAACTTCTAAATTAGAATTAGAATTATATATTATGTTTAAATATATTATATATATAGCTGTAGGATTGTAACAAAAAACCAAGTTTTTTTACTCTCATATCAGCACTGTAGTATTTCACCATAGAAATTATCATACAATTTTCCTGTTGTAGGAAAATTACATAATTTAGTACAAAGAGGGGAGCAGCATTAGGAAAAATACCACAGGTTTAACAGAAAAGTGGGGTTGATGCTGTCATGGCCCACAGAGGCTGCCCAGCAGTTGGGGGCCACAGGAGAGCTTTTCCTGCCCTTCAGCCAGGGGCACATGCAGTGGAGTTAAACTGGTTTTGGTAACTTGATGGCGAGCATCCCACATGTGCAAGTCCACCTACGTGCAGAGGAGCTGGGGCGTTCAGTTTGGTGATAATACACCACATTTTGGCACCGTTCGCAGAGGGCTGTCACGGAGTTTGTCTGAGTGTTTTGCCTCCTGTAAAGTATTCTTGGTTAATTTCTGGTGGGGAACCACCCGGCCTTCCCCGTCAGTCCTTCATGAGGCTGTTGGTTATTTCATTCATTTTGGGTCACTTTCCTAGGAGATGGACTGCCATCTATTGACTCCTCGGAGCCCCTGCATGGCGTGCGGGGCCGCTCAAACAATGACTCAATAACAAACCCTCTCTGCTCTTGGGCATGGTGCTGGGGTTTGTTGACGTTGGCCATGGTGACAAATTTGAGCACATTGCAAATAATTTGTTGTATGGGCAGAAACATCTTATTCCAGCCAAAAAAGACTGCCAGCGCAAGGAATCTTGTGAAGAACTGGCAAAAAGGATTGTAAATTGAATATTTTAATTTGCCTTTTGATGGAAAAAAAGATTATCATAAGGCATGCAGTGAAGCTTAAATCTAAGGGCTGTGTGATAATCAGAGCTTTATAAGTGGCTGAAAGTACTTTCTTTGAACTTACTCTTTCAACTCTTTTAGCTGAAATTAGTCTGAAAAAAAAAGCCAATCAAAGTCAGCAGAAAAATCCAAGTCCCACTGCGGTTTAAAATACTATTTAATAATCACTTTAAGATGGTGATTTAAAACTTTTACAGATCATTTTCATCACAACTACACTCCGTATTTCTCCTGTATCAGAGAAGGGCAATTATATTTGTCAAAATACATTTCAAGTTTTATTCGTGTGTTTTGTGAATTGGTTCATACCCACTAAGGCTTATCAAAGGGGTTATTGTCAATCAAATAACAGGACAAAGACTTCTTTGACAGAGTCAGGAAAAACAGTTTTGACCATAGCTTGCTGGAGTGTCAGTGATGATACATGTGATTTTTTTTGGGCACAAGGCATTTGGAGGCCTTATTGAGCTCTTTGTTCTGGGTTTTGAGGAAGCTTTGCTTACAACTGTGACTTCCTAAATGCCAGGTGCTCCACAAATCCCGAGAAGCACGGCCCATGTTCCTCAAGACATGCTGTCACATTGTCCCCTCTGCACCCTATGGGTACAGGGGTGCACACTGCAGTGTTATTTCACCCTCAGAGCACTGGCCTCTTTCTCATTCCCTTTCTCCTGTCACTTCAGATTTGAGCTATAAATGTAGTGATATTTATTATGCATTTTAAGTGGAGGCCAGGTTATAGCCCTCTAAAAAACAAAAAAAACAAACCCTAAATCACACTAAAATATCGATGGAAAAACTTGTGAGAGGGCGCCCAATGATTGTCTTTTGTTTGTTTCAGTTTTGCAGTGTATTCTTTAAAAAATACAGTATTTCCCCTCAAGTTTGACCTGCTGCCCGTGCACCTTGCGGTGGTGCGGCCTATGGCTGCTGCTGTCCTCAGTGGGCCCAGGCTGCAGAGGGGCAGCGCTGGGGCTCACATTCTGCATGGCCAGCCCTTGTCCCCTCTGCTGCTGCTGCTGCTGCTGCTGTGGGCAGCCTGGGGCTCTGTGCTGGCCATCCGGGGGGCACCGAGGGCCGGGCTGCCCACGCTGACCAGTGGCTGTGGCCTGGGCTGACCAGCGGCCTGGGCTGACCAGCAGTTGCGGCCTCAGCCCCATCCCACGGCCTGCGTGGCCTCTGTGGCCTGAGCGGCCTGCTGAAGCTGCTGCTAGTGGTAGCCCCCATCCAGCAGATGACACCACTGGAGAAAAAGAGGAAATTTATTTCTCTTCAGTGCCCAGAGACCGTGTTTTGCCCTGGGTGTGAGGTGCACTTGTGCCGTGAAGGCCCAGAGTGTGGATGGCAGCGCCAGTGGGGCAGCCAGCCATGGGCACGGTGCTCAGCGTGTTTCGTGTTTTGTCAGATGGAAACGGGCCGGCTCCAATCTCACCACATCTTACTGTCAGAGTGGTTTGTACCATGCAGGAGGGGATGTGGCCAGTTCGGCCCAGCACCAGGATGAGGACACCACAGTCAAACAGGAGTGAACTGTGCAAGTGTTAGAGTCTTCTTCAGTAAATAACAACTGAGCAAAGAAATTCTGTCCCTAAAATGAGCAGAGCGAGTTTTTTATTTTCCTGAGGTGTTTCTCGCCGTTGATATGTGTGTTAAAACATAAATCTCACTGGGACGGAGTGTTTTCTTTCTGGAAGGATGTCTCATTTTTAAAAGTCCCTTCGTGCCCTGGTGCCGCTCCAGCTAGCCACGCTGGCTCCGTCCCCTGTGCCCTGCCTTCACCAGCCTCTTCTTTTTGAAATCTCACTGAGCAAGATGGCCACCAACAGAGCTTTAGAACCATCAGAATTTTTAATTAGCAGAAGCTACCATTTAACACACTTTTTGTCAGTTTGTTAATCTTACTTTTAATCCGCTTACATAAAGGAAGGTGAACCAGGAACTGGCTGATTTGGCCCCGTGTATGAAGGACACGAAGGGACATTCGTCTTTTGTGTTTAAATGTTG